TCCGGACTTTTTCTGGTTGGGAAGCTATTAATTATTGTCTCAATTTCAGAGCCTGTTATTGGTCTATTCGGATATTCAACTTCTTCCTGGTTTAGTCTTGGGAGAGTGCTTGTGTCCACGAATTTATCCATTTCTTCTAGATTTTCTGGTTTATTTGTGTAGAGGTGTTTATAGTATTCTCTGATGGTAGTTTGTATTTCTGTGGAATTGGTGGTGATATCCCCTTTATCATTTTTTTATTGTGTCTATTTGATTCTTCTCTCTTTTCTTCTTTATTAGTCTCGCTAGTGGTCTATCAATTTCGTTGATCTTTTCAAAAAACCAGCTCCTGGATTCATTGATTTTTTTTGAAGGGTTTTTTGTGTCTCTGTCTCCTTCAGTTCTGCTCTAATCTTAGTTAGATTTTGAATTTGTTTGCTCTTGCTTCTCTAGTTCTTTTAATTGTGATGTTAGGATGTTGATTTTAGATCTTTCCTGCTTTCTCTTGTGGGCATTTAGTGCTATAAATTTCCCTCTACACACTGTTTTAAATGTGTCCCAGAGATTCTGGTATGTTGTGTCTTTGTTCTCATTGGTTTCAAAGAGCATCTTTATTTCTGCCTTAATTTTGTTATGTACCCAGTAGTCATTCAGGAGCAGCAGGTTGTTCAGTTTCCATGTAATTGTGTGGTTTTGAGTGAGTTTCTTAATGCTAAGTGCTAATTTGATTATACTGTCGTCAGAGAGACAGTTTGTTGTGATTTCTGTTCTTTTACATTTGCTGAGGAGTGCTTTACTTCCAACTATGTGGTCAATTTTGGAATAAGTGTGATGTGGTGCTGAGAAGAATGTATATTCTGTTGATTTGGCGTGGAGAGTTCTGTAGATGCCTATTAAGTCTGCGTGGTGCAAAGCTGAGTTCAAGTCCTGGATATCCTGGTTAACCTTCTGTCTCACTGATCTGTTGAATATCAACAGTAGGGGGTTAAAGTCTCCCACTATTATTGAGTGGGAATCTAAGTCTCTTTATAGGTCTCTAAGAACTTGCTTTATGAATCTGGGTGCTTCTGTATTGGGTGCATATATATTTAGGATAATTAGCTCTTCTTGTTGAATTGATCCCTTTACCATTATGTAATGGCCTTCTTTGTCTCTTTTAATCTTTGTTGGTTTAAAATTTGTTTTATCAGAGACTAGGATTGCAACCCCCGCTTTTTCTTAGTTTCCATTTGCTTGGTAGATCTTCCTCCATCCCTTTATTTTGAGTCTGTGTGTGTCTCTGAGTGTGAGGTGGGTCTCCTGAATACAACACACTGATGGGTCTTGACTCTTTATCTGATTTGCCAGTCTGTGTCTTTTAATGGGGCATTTAGCCCATTTACATTTAAGGTTAATGTTGTTATGTGTGAATTTGATCCTGTCATTATGATGTTAGCTGGTTATTTTGGCCATTAGTTGATGCAGTTTCTTCATAGCATTGATGGTCTTTACAATTTGGCATGTTTTTCCAGTGGCTGGTACTGGTCGTTCCTTTCCATGTTTAGTGCTTCCTTCAGGAGCTCTTGTAGGGCAGGCCTGGTGGTGACAAAATCTCTCAGCATTTGCTTGTCTGTAAAGGATTTTATTTCTCCTTCGCTTATGAAGCTTAGTTTGGCTGGATATGAAATTCTGGACTGAAAATTCTTTTCTTTAAGAATGTTGAGTATTGGCCTCCACTCTCTTCTGGCTTGTAGAGTTTCTCCAAGAGATCTGCTGTTAGTCTGGTGGGCTTTCCTTTGTGGGTAACCCGACCTTTCTCTCTGACTGCCCTTAACATTTTTTCCTTCATTTCAACCTTGGTGAATCTGACAATTATGCGTCTTGGGGTTGCTCTTCTTGAGGAGTATCTTTGTGGTGGTCTCTGTATATCCTGAATTTGAATGTTGGCCTGTCTTGCTAGGTTGGGGAAGTTCTCTTGGATAATATCCTGAAGAGTGTTTTCCATCTTGGTTCCATTCTCCCTGTCACTTTCAGGTACACCAATCAAACGTAGATTTGGTCTTTTACGTAGTCCCATATTTCTTGGAGGCTTTGTTCATTTCTTTTTACTCTTTTTTCTCTAAACTTCTCTTCTCACTTTATTTCACTAATTTTTCTTCAATCACTGATACCCTTTCTTCCACTTGATGGAATCGGCTATTGAAGCTTGTGCCTGTGTCACATAGTTCTCATGTCATGGTTTTCAGCTCCATCAGGTCATTTGGTCTTCTCTACACTTTTTTCTAGTTAGCCATTTGTCTAATTTTTTTTTCAAGGTTTTTAGCTTCTTTGCGATGGGTTCGAGCATCCTCCTTTAGCTCAGAGAAGTTTGCTATTACCAACCTTCTGAAGCCTACTTCTGTCAGGTCGTCAAAGTCATTCTCTGTCCAGGTTTATTCCATTGCTGGCGAGGAGCTGTGATCCTTTGGAGGAGAAGAAGCACTCTGGTTTTTAGAATTTTCAGCTTTTCTGCTCTGGTTTCTTCCCATCTTTGTGGTTTTATCTACCTTTGGTCTTTGATGTTGATGACCTACAGATGGAGTTTTCGTGTGGATGCCTTTTTGTTGATGTTGATTCTATTCCTTTCTGTTTGTTAGTTTTCCTTCTAACAGTCAGGTCCCTCAGCTGCAGGTCTGTTGGAGTTTGTTGGAGGTCCACTGCAGACCCTGTTTGCCTGGGTATCACCAGCGGAGGCTGCAGAACAGAAAATATTGCTGCCTGATCCTTCCTCTGGAAGTTTCATCTCAGAGGGACACCCGCCTGTATGAGGTGTCAGTTAGTTGCTACTGGGAGGTGTCTCCCAGTTAGACCACATGGGGGTCAGGGACCCACTTGAGGAGGCAGCCTGTCCGTTCTCCGAGCTCAAACACCATGGATGGAGAACCACTGCTGTCTTCAGAGCTGTCAGACAGGGACGTTCAAGTCTACAGAAGTTTCTGCTGCCTTTTGTTCAGCTATGCCCTGCCCCCAGAGGTGCAGTCTACAGAGGTAGCAGATCTTGCTGAGCTGTGGTGGGCTCCACCCAGTTTGAGCTTCCCCGACTGCTTTGTTTACCTACTCAAGCCTCAGCAATGGCGGACGCCCCTCCTGCTGCCAGGCTGCTGCCTCACAGGTCGTTCTCAGAGTTCTGCACTAGTAGTGAGCAAGGCTCTGTGGGCGTGGGACCCGCCAAGCCAGGTGCAGGACATAATCTCCTGGTGTGCCATTTGCTAAGACTGTTGGAAAAGCGCAGTATTTGGGCAGGAGTGTCCTGTTTTTCCAGGTACCGTCTGTCAAGGCTTCCCTTGGATAGAAAAGGGAAATCTCCCCAACCCCTTGTGCTTCCCAGGTGAGGCGATGCCCTGCCCTGCTTCAGCTCACCCTCCGTGGGCTGCACCCACTATCCAACCAGTGCCAGTGAGATGAACCAGGTATCTCAATGGGAAATGCAGAAATCACCTGTCTTCTGTGTCGGGCACGCTGGGAGCTCCAGCCTGGAGCTGTTCCTATTTGACCCTCTGCAACAGAATAGCCTAAAATCAGTATATTTAAGATGGTATGCTAAATACGTGCATTGGAGTTACATGTGTTAACATGGATGAATCTCATAAAACAATACTACATACTGTTTAGGGATACATATAAATTTATTTTTTAAAGAATAGGAATGATACATTCAGCAAAATAGTTAACCGTAGGATAGAAGGAGATTTGGTTGGGACAGGCTACACAGAAGCTTTCAATTTTAATGGTAATATTTTTTTTAAGTTCAGTGGTGGATAGATGGGATGATGGCATATATGTCTGAAAGATTTCCAGCACTTTTTAAACTGTTTTTAAACATTTGTCAGTTTGAGTTCTTTGGCTTCACTCTAATTTACCATTGGCCCCACCACTTAACCACTGGGATTTCAACATTGTGTTAGCTGCCTGGCTCCTATAAGCAACTGCATTTGTGACCTTAATTTAGAAGTTAGGTAAGTGCTTGGCTTACTTTGTTTTTTTACAGTTAATTTATTGTTGAACTATAGCATGTATACTGAAAAGTACACAGGGCACAGCCTGATGAATTTTTTATAAAGTAAATATAGCAATGTGATCAGCACCCAGATCAAGAAACAGAACATCCCCAACACCCAGTACCCTCTTCCAGTAACTGTCACCCACAAGGCCAATTAACCATCCTGATTTCTAACACCCCATTCAAATTTTAACAGTTGCTGAAAATGTCCAGTAGCTACAGTGAAATAGATGTTTGCACTCTACAGATAGGAAACAAGATATTGAGAGATGGAACAGTTGATTTAAATAAAATTTTGGATGAAAATTTTCCTTATTTAGGGGTAGGTTCAGTAACGTTAATTGTTGTGTGTGAAGCGTTCGGGGATAAGAGGAAGCAAATGTGGAAAAATGCATAATTTGGAGATTTATGAGTATATATTAAATGATTTTGTCCTCCAAAATGGTAATTTTCTTTAAAGAGAGACTTGTGAGTATTGTCTTTGTGAATTAGTTTTATAATTTATACATAATATAATTCAACATGTAAGAATTCCATTCAACTTTTGTCATTTTGTGTCAGTGAAACACAAGACTCTATGCCTGTTCCCCGCCCCTCTCCATTCTTCTGGTCTGATATGTCTGCTTCTTGTACATTGACAGTTCTAATTATACACATTCAGAAGGGTTTTGAACGCCAGGTACCACAATTCAAATATATTAGTCACAAATTTTTGAATTGTATTAGCCACAAAATTCATGAGTCATGTCCATTTGGAAGCCGATAAGCACTAGAAACCAAATGAGTTATCTCAGCACATTTAAATGGCTACAGAGTCTATATTATTTTTTGCATGATTAAACTTGGGATTGCTTTTTGCAAGTTTTAAGGATTCTCTGGAATTTTTTTTTTTTTTTTTTAACAACTTGACCTTTTTTCCCCCTTCTGGAATATATAAATATGTGTAAATATATATGTTTAAATGTCTTTTTTTTTTCATTTTTTATTTTTGTTTTTCCTCTAGATAAAAGTTAAACAGCTAGAAGAACAAGTACAGTCTTTTACTGACACCAGCTTACAGAATGATCATCTACGCAAGATGAATAAGTCTCTACAGACTAAATATGCTCAGGTGTGATTAATATCTACAAAAGCGGATTGCTGCTATATTTCATTTTTAAGAAATTGTTTGATGTCTTTTTCCCCACTTTACCATAGAATCCCAGAAAGATAAATATCCTGTCACTTGACTCAATTTAACAAACTTTTTTTCAAGCACCTAGTACATACAAGGTTCTGGTAAGCCTCAGAAATTGTGAAGATACCTGAAGCAGGATTGAGACATTCAACTTGCTTATTATAGTTAGGAAATGTACTCCATAAACTTTATTATGAATAGAAAGTTATGCTTTTCAGAAAAATAGATTGTATTACTGAACATTCATAGGGAGCATGATTATGAGTAGAAGCAGTGAGAAATGCTTTCATAAAGGCAGTGCTTTTTGAACTTGAGCCTTACAAATTTTGGCAGTTGTGAGGAACAAGTATCCTTGTTTTTTTGAATTAAAGGCAAACTCAGAACTCAGTGCCAAGAGGGTACACCTGCAACAAGCAGATGCTCACCTGAAAGAGGTATTGGTAATGAAAGTGCTTGCTTGTCAGCATGGTGGCTCTTGAGGCTAAAAGCCTTTCATAGGTCACATAATATTTTAACAAATGAATAGAAAAAGTTAAGCAAGATAACAGAAACATTTAGTGAAGAACATACATCAGGAAGGTGTTACCAGAAGAAAGTGACTCATTTCAATTATTTACAAATTTAGTATGCATATCATTAGGTTATTTTTAAAATTGTTAACTCTTAATAAAAGCATATTAACTTCTGTGTCTATGATATTTGTGTATCTATACCCCTGGTAACCAAGGAACTAAAATATGTTTTCAAATGGAATACTCATAGGGTTCTAACCACTTGACTGCTGATGAGTGATGAGGTCACAGAGTTGTTAAAGGGCCTCATTAGATGCGCTCTCTAACAGGCGCTCACTGACAGGGAAGTTGGCGTAAGGTCTGTTTCTTTGCTGGGTCATATTTTACAGTGTGATCTCTTCACTCTGAAAGCAGAGAAACACATTTTCAAATATATTTTCCATTACGGCTCCTTCTAGAACACTGTTTGTGTTGTTTCTCCTAGTAAAGTGGCTATTCCTTGAAAAATAGCTATAGGTTTAGCTGTTTTTATTAATAATTGATGATGCCTTTAAGAAAAAGAAAATCTCCAGAGAGGCCTGCATCTTCAAAATCCCCTGAAATCTCTAGGTCCCATGTAAACAGTATAAAGGAGAGAACGTCATCAGTTGGTTTGCCTAGTGTTATTCCAAACTCTACACGCCGTGTGAGCTTTGCACCTAACCTGCCTTCTGTGAAAACATCTCAGGATATTGGAGACTCTAGGATCTCTCTAAAGACTCTTTTGAATGCTATTAAAACCATGGAGGGAAGACTGGAAGGCAAAATAGAGATTCTTGCCTCAAGACCTTTAGTAAATGATGAATCACCAAATTTTCTTAAACGGGACTCGGTAAGTGAAGACCACAAATTAAATCTTCAGGAAATTTTAAATGTATACAAGAATGAAATATTAATCCAGAAAGATAATGCTTGAAGATGTGAGTAACTAGGAAATAAGGTTCTTCACAAACAGAAAAAAGAGTAATATAGATTGAAACCATTATCCTAGCCATCACATAATTAGTTTTAGACATAAAAATTTGACATAACAGTAACTACTGAGTTTTTTATATAATTTTGATTTTTTTTAAAAAGTCAAAATTTCTACCTAATCTTAACATTTGAGCTAAAATGCTTGGATAAAGCCTCATTTTCAAATAGAAATAAATTAATTCAAGAAACCCCAAGAAATTTAACATTGGAAAATATTTTCTTGAGAAAACTTATTAGAGCATTCTTCTTTATCTGATATTTAGAAATAGAAAATACTGTAGCTTATCTTCTAGAGTGGGCTACTATTACCGGAAGGAGGGCTGTGAGTGTGAGTTGTCCAGGTCCTTGGCGTTTTGAACAAAGAATTGAACAAAACGCACAAAGTGACAAAGGAAGCAGTGAAAGCAGGGATTAAAGCGATGAAAACTCCATAGGGTGTGGAGTTTTCTGGTTTTCAAGTTTACGAAGTTTTCTGGGTTTTAAGTACACCTTTTGAGGTCCCTATGGATTTGGCCTGTGGCTAATTAAAGGCTGAGGTGAATTGACGCCCTATGCTGATGAAGGGATGGCCCATGCTCGGCCTGTGGCCAATCCAAGGCTCTCTCCCTTTCCATCTGGGACATGGTGGAAGGGGGAGGAGTGTAGGGAGAGTAGTAGCCTTTGATCCTTTGCTACTTGCTGGGGAGATAGAGTTTTTCCTTTTGGTGTAGCTTTTGGAAGTTGGTGTTAATTAGACTTAGGTTCCCTGTCCCCAGACCCAGGTGTTTTCTTTTGATCCAGCTTTGGGAAGTCAGCAAAAATTGGCCTCATTTCCACTGTCCCCAGACCTTGGTGTTTTTCCTTGATTCAGCTTTAGGAAATCAGCATGAATTGGCTTTAAGTTCCCTGCCTCCAAACCCTATTCTCCTGCCTCACTACTATTTAGATGTCTTCTGTAAACATCTAGTGGCACTTTTGCATTTGTATGTGTGTCTATATACATACTGATAAATATACACTTTAAAAACTGGTAGAATTTTAAAAATGATATTCTTGTATACTTTTCTAGAACAAAATTCAGTAGATTATCAGGACCTATAAGTTGCCATCCTTTGCACTTTTCTGGGATCCTTTTCTGTAGAAAAAGTTAAGTATTTTAAATGTTACACGTTCAAGTTTAAGGATGTTTTATGATGTTGAGGTAGATGTGGGGAAAAGACATCCTCCTTTGTTATTATTGGGATTATGAAACAGTACAACTTCCTATGGAGGGCAATTTAGCAATATTTATCACAACTTTGACCCCACAGTTGTCCTTCTAGGACTTTTTCCTACCGATATACTGGCTTGTACACATGACATAAATACAAGGTCACTTACTGAAGTATTGTTGGCTAATAGCAACAGAGGAAGCAACCAAAATCTCATCAATAAGAGACTGGCTAAATAATAGTTTGTATCCATAGTTTTGCAATACTGCTTCAAGATATATACATATATAAAATTAGGTTTAAACAATAAAAGTTCAGAAGAGTATATGTAGTATTTTACTATTTGGATGTAAAAGAGGTGGGGAGATAAAGAATATATACATATGCATTCACTTGTATAAGCATAGACTGTCTAAAATGACCCATAATAAAATGGCAACATTATTTTTGAGGAAGGAAACTGGGTGGCTGGGATGTTTTTCACTTAATCTTTTCGTACTTTAAAAATAATGTGGATGTACTACCTATCCAAAATAGTTTTATGAACGTTTTCTTTTCAACAAAACTGAAAGCAGAGAGAAGATAGTCTTTTCAACAAATGGTGCTGAGATAATTGGATATCCATATGCAAAAACAAAATATCTTTGCTCCATACCTCACAAAATATATAAAAATTAAAATGGATCATAGATCTAAATGTAAACCCTGAAACTGTAAAACTTTTAGAAGAAAACGTAGGAAGAAATCTTTGTGATCTGGGATTACACAAAGATTTCTTAGATTTGATATCAAAACCATGATCCATAAAGGGACAAAAGCGATAAATTGGAGTTTATCAAAATTGACAACTTATACTCTTCAGAAACATGAAGGTAATGAGGAGACAAGCTACAGACTGGGAAGAATTATTTGCAAATCACATATCTGATTAAGACCTTGTTTCTAGAAGGTATTAAAAATAATTTTTAAAATTTAAATACTAAGAAGAAAACCTAAGAAAAAGAATAGGCAAAAATTTGAACAGATAATTTCTTCAGCAAAGTTATGTGGCTGGTAAGTGCTTGAAAAGAGGTTAAGCATCAGTCATTAGGGAAATGCAAATATAATCACAGTGAGACACTACCACACACCTATTATTAGTACAGCCACTTTAGAAAATAGTTTGGGAATTTCTTTAAAAGTGAAACATACTACCACTATGTGACCCAGTCAGTGCACTACTAAGTATTCACCAAAGACAAGTGAAAGTATGTCTCCACAGAGACTTGTACACAGGTGTTCACAACAGCTGTATTTGTAATAACTTAAAACCAGAACCAACTTAAGTGTCCACCAGGTGAATGGATAACTAAATTTTGATGTCCCTACAATAGAATACTAAGCAACAGAAAGAACTGTTGATACATGCAGCAGATTGAATGACTCTCAAAATAATTACACTGAGTTAAGTTATTCCAAAAAGAGTGCATACAATACAATTCCATATAAAATTCTAGAAAATACAAACTAATCTGTTGTGATGGAAAACAGATCAGTGGTTACCTGTGAGAATCAGTATGAGTGTGGGAATAGAGACAGACAGAAGGGGGGAGATTACAAAGGAGCATAAGGAAACTTTTGGAGATGATGGAAATGTTTATATCTTAATTGTTTCAAAGTCTTACGCATGTGTCAAAACTTATCAAAATGCACACTTTAAGTATATGTAGCTTATTGTATGTCAATTATACCTCAGAAAAGGTGTTAAAAAAGAAAAATCATGTATTACCTATTCAAAAATGTATTAAATGTTTAAAGTAACTTTTTTTTTTTTTTCTTTTTGAGATAGAGAGTCTCTCTCTGTTGCCAGGCTGGAGTACAGTGGCGTGATCTCAGCTCGGCTCACTGCAACCTCTGCCTCCTGGGTTCAAGCAATTCTCGTGCCTCAGCCTCCCAAGTGACTGGGATTACAGGCTCCCGCCACCACGCCTGGCTAATTTATTTTTTATTTTTATTTTTATTTATTTATTTGTATTTTTAGTAGAGACGGGGTTTCACCATGTTGGCCAGGATGGTCTCCATCTCCTGACCTCATGATCCGCCCACCTCGGCCTCCCAAAGTGCTGGGATTATAGGCGTGAGTCACCATGCCTAGCCTAAAGTAACATTCTTGAAAGGACAGAACTGTAGAAATAGAGAACAAATTACTGTACATCAGTGTAGTATGGGAAAGAAAAGAAAACAAATTAGTGGTTGCCAGAGTACAGGATGAGTTTTTGGAGTTTTTGGAGGGAAGCGCGAATACAGAGATAGCACAAGGGAATTCTTCTCTGGTAATGGAACAGTTCTGTGTCTTGACTGTGGGGGTGGCAGTCATGTGAATATGTAAACAGGATCAAATTGCATGAAACTCTGTGCATACACATGCACACACATACACACATAGATGAATGAAGGTTGGAAAAATGGCAAAAATGGAATAAATAAGTAATCTAGTTAGTCAAGTTAACAATAGTGTATGCATGTCAATTTCCTGGTTTTGATGTTGAACTACAGCAATATGAGAAGTCAGCAAAAGAAGCAGGATGAAGAGGCCAGGCTTTGTGGCTTACGCCTGTTATCCCAGCACTTTGGGAGGCCGAGTCAGGCAGATCACATGAGGTTAGGAGTTCGAGACCAGCTGACAAACATGGTGAAACCCCTTCTCTACTAAAACTACAAAAATTAGCTTGGCGTGATGTTGCACACCTGTAATCCCAGCTACTTGGGAGGCTGAGGCAGGAGAATCGCTTGATCCTGGGAGGCGGAGGTTGCAGTGAGCCCAGATTATGCCATTGCACTCCAGCCTGGGTGACAGAGCGAAACTCAGTCTCAAAAAAAAAAGGATGAAGTATACGTTGGACTCTGCACTATTTTTGCAACACCCTGTGAGCCTAAAATTATCAAATAAAAAGTTTAAAAAGAGTAATATTTAAAATAGTATGATTATCTGAACTGATGGTGTGGCACTACCAAAACTGTTTCAAGGAGGTTCTAATACTGTACTACTTCTAATTAGGATTCATTCTGCTGTAACACTTTTCTTGACATATTTAGTACTTAAACATCTTTGCTTTTATAATGTTTGTACATTTATATTTTCAAAAGGAAGCTAGTCTCATAATAATTTCTTTCCCACTTTACATCTCAGCTTCATAGATAGTCTTATTCTCCCTATTCTTGTGTTTTCATGGAGATTAATATATTAGGTTTGTCTGTGTTTATTCATGCAGATATTTTTATTGTAGTTTCCTTTAAAGAAGTAAGCAGCTAATAAAGATGGGTTTTATTTATAGTAGTGAATAAATATATTTAAACATTTAAAATTTTGTTTCTAAATTTCTACGTCTTATTCTAGTCACTGATTTGTAATGTTATTTATTGTTTCTTTTTTCCTACCTAGGTGAAATCTATTCTTGAAAGAAGTAAGGAGGAGCTGTCCCGAACAGTGAAGTGTCGTAATGCGGCCCTGAAAGAGAGTCAGAAGTTGAAAGAAGACCTCGAGGCTGTGGAGGACAGGGAAAACAAGAAGGCAAGGAATCAGTCCCTTCTGACCGTCTGTCACTGAGAAGAAGCACTTACGAAATCTTTCATGAGCCATATGTTTTGCTTTCTTGCTTCCATTAGTAAGAAAAAGGATTGATCAGGGGAAGATTTCTTTTTTTTAGAGAAAAGATAATTTTAGAATAGTTTAAAATTTTTCCCTTAAAAATACATTATATATATATAAAACTTTCAATTTTTTTTTAACTTTGTCTTAAATACTCAAAAGAGAAAGTTCTAATGTTTTCTATTGAAACACATCTGATCTTGGTAATAATAACCTTTATAGTTATGTTTTATTAATGTGAGATAAGATTTCTGTGATGCTTCCTCCTTAACAGTGTGTGTGCGCGTAGTGGGAATAGAGGTCACATCCCAAACTTCTCTTTGTCAGCAAGTGCTAGGTTTTGTCTCTCTGAGGAGGGCTGTGAGTTACCTCATTCTTCAGCAGCTTCCGCTTTTTCTTAGTCTTTTTTTCTCAGATAATTCTAATGCATTTCAGATGTATTATTCTCACCTGACCCCATCAGAAGTCAGCTGAGAGGCCAGCCTGGCACCACCTCTGTGCTGGTTAATGTGTATGCTGTAACATGACCATAGTTGGGAAGCTGCAGAGTTCACCATAGGATCTGGGGATCAGCTTTTCTTTTTCTCAACAATAACTTAAGAAACCACCTAAAAATAAAATATACTTTAATTATTCCCCCTAGCATCCTACTGTGTCTGCTTGTCTGCTTTCCATACATTTTCTGGCAGTAATGAGATCCACAAGCAGAAGAGTAACCAGAAAGGATCAAATGTCTTTGTGTTGTTTCATTTTCTGTTAGGTGGGAAACTTTCAGCGACAACTGGCAGAAGCTAAAGAAGACAACTGCAAAGTCACAATCATGTTGGAGAATGTGCTGGCTTCTCACAGTAAAATGCAAGGTGCTCTGGAGAAAGTACAAATAGAGCTTGGGCGGAGGGATTCAGAGATTGCAGGCCTCAAGAAAGAAAGGTACCTGTGGTTTTTTCCTGTCATTGGTATTGCTGCATTGTACTAAGGAGCAGTGTCAAGTCAATAAATGAAGTCACTTTACGTAGCTTCCTTTACAAAAAAAAAAAATTGTAAAATGATATGTTTAAAGAATTACTAAGTTAGAGAAAATTTAAAATTAGAAATAAATATTATTTCCAAAAATTCAAAATGCCCCTATTGTGTAGTGATGTGAAGGAATTTCTAGACTATATATCCTAGAAATTCATTAGCTATACTGTTGTTTTACCCTTGCTTTTTCCACCATGTAAACCTAATTCTGTTCTTGCTTCTACAGAATAGTAATTGTCAAGATAATGGAAACTAAGTACATACTTTAGTTTGAATTAATTATCCATTTATTACTATCCTGTTTCAAGATTAATAATTATTGTAGGTAAATCATCCTGAGAACCACTTCTTGCCATGTTTTATAAGTAAATTCCTTCATAGAATGTTTCAAAAATTAAATAAAATTTCCTTTTATTAATAAAAATGTATTCCTCAGAATAAACAGTCTGAGTTTCATAGGGCATATTGCCTCTATGTTATGAGAGAACAAGTGAGTTTTCTTTTTTCTTTTTTTGCATTACATGTTGTTTATCTTTTAAAAGTTGCCTTTGCATTTTTAAAAAGTCAAGGGAATGGTATTAAAAGTACTATTCACAATAACTTTATAAGTGGCTGTGATATGTAGATGCAAAAATCTCAACAAGCCAATCTTTGTAAAGGCAATATATTTTTTACTAGTGACATTTCCTAGTGATATATACATATGATGCTATTTGAACTTCTTAGAAGAAAAGTGTTCTGTAACTCCCAAATGATATCATTCCTAGATGATTCTTTTCTGTAGTCACTCTTTTTGTGCTTTTTATTTTTAGGGATCTCAATCAACAGAGGGTGCAGAAGCTAGAAGCTGAAGTGGACCAGTGGCAGGCCAGGATGCTTGTCATGGAGGACCAGCACAACAGTGAGGTTGGGGCCAGGCTTTAAAAAATGATAACATTGATATGTTTAGTTTTACTGGGATATTACTGTTTTGGGGAAAATGAAGTGAAACAATCAGGTAAATGTTTTTTTCAATCAAGTCTGAGTTTTGGACAGTGACATATCTACAAATGGGGAATTGACCTGTCTTACAATGAGTCACTTATTGGCAAACCAGTACCACAATAATGACTAATCTCTTTGTCTTATATGGTCTACATTTTTATTCATTTATTAATGCACAAAAAATTTCAGAAGTTAATGGGCTTAGAAAATATAGTCTGTCAGAAACAGCTTGAGTGATCCCACTATTAATAAGGAGTCACCTACACACACATGTGCTCACAGGTATATGTACATACATGCATACGTATCTATACGCACATATGTAAAATACACATGGATAGTTCATAAATAAGGGTTTTTTTCCTGTAAGAATCTATAAGTAACGGTGGACAGGTTTTTTCTTCAAGGGCGTGAGACCAGAAGGTCATAGGATCAGGAAGGGGAATTTAGTTTAAAATTTAAAAAATTAGGATAAATTAAGCTGGGTCTGTTTTCCAAAGCTCTCTGGTGACCAGTGGAGCATGCCCTTCCCATTGCCTTCTAAGTGTTTCCTGAGCAGTGTCTCTAATAAGTTCTCATTCATATATGTATATACATATATATATATATATTCCAGGCACCTGGAATCTTTGCTTCTGGTTCCAACTAATTATTGTTTCGGTGGCACTTGATGATAAAACGTGAGGAGTGTTTACGCAGTGTTATGGACTTCTTGCATCTATCTGTTACAGTGGAATTGAAAACATGCTTCTCTCTTTCAGACTGAATCTCTACAAAAAGCTCTAGATGTAGCTAGAGAAGACAACAGGAAACTTGCTGTGAGTCTGGAACAAGCTCTCCAGACAAATAATCATCTGCAAACAAAGCTAGATCACATTCAAGAGCAACTGGAAAGCAAAGAACTTGAGCGACAGAATTTGGAAACCTTCAAGTAAGAGCAGTGTAGTCACAGTAAAATTAGGGAAGCACCTCTGGAGGAGTAAGTCACATTCACATAAATGGCTCATTCACATAAATCAGTTAAACTCTTTTCTCCTACTTTGCCCTAGTACTTCCAGCAGAGCCATGTTAAGAACCAGGCATAGCTGAGCACCAGCAGATAATAGCTGGCTAGAGCATGATCATTTGACTCTCCTTCTCAGCTCTTCCTTCATCCACTATCTAGCTGCTGCTTTACTCAAAGGTTAAATGAAAACTTAAAGAATATTGATTAGAAGGGATATTTGCATGTTTCTATGAAGGCTTTCCTATTAACAGCTTATATGTCCTTTAAAGGCATGATTTAGACAAGAAAAAACATCAGCCTGGGTGGAATGACTCCATCTAAATAGATGTTAAGCCATGAAATGTTTTCAGTTTTGACCCGAGATTACTTAGATCAGGCCTATCCAGTTCAGGTCAAATGACTAAAGTTTTGCCTTAAATTATACCTAGGTAAATATTTAGATATTAATAGCATCCCATGAAAAATTTATACTTAAATGCAGTGTGCACGTAGATCTTTATTCCTTTATAAATATTTATTTATTTATTTATTTATTTATTTATTTATTTGAGACTGAGTCTTGCCCTGTTGCCCAGGCTGGAGTTCAGTGGTATGATCATGGCTCACTGCAGCCTCTACTTCCTGGGCTCATGCAGTTCTCCTACCTGAGCCTCCTGAGTAGCTGGAACTACAGGCATGTATCACCACACCTGGCTAATTTTTTTTTTTTTTTTTTTTTTTTAAGAGATAGGGTTTCTCCATGTTGCCCAGGGTGGTCTCAAACTCCTGGGCTCAAACAGTTCACCTGCCTCAACCTCCCAAAGTGCTGGAATTACAGGCATGAGCCACTGTTCTCAGCCTAGATACTTATTCTTTTCAAGTAGTGAGCATGTTGATACAGGAAAGCGGTATAAGCTACAGCAGAGATGGTATTTTCCAGATATATGATCTCTGCAAATTTTACATTCAGCTGAAATGTTACTGCCTTAAGACTGTTCCATATTGTGTTTATGTAGTTGTTGGCAGCAGCATTTAAAACTCTCCAGTGTCAGTTTAGGTAATTATGATTTAGACGGCTAATAATTGTTTCAAAGCCTGAAAATTATTTAGTGACTATAAAATGTAGTCCCTGCCACTACTGCTTCAAACAAACAAACAAAACCAAAGGAGAAAAAAATATGGTTAGGTCATTTACAGGAAAAGTATGAGGTGAGAGTTAGAGGTCTCCTTGCAGCATTTGCTTCAGGATTTACCTTTATGCCACTGCTTATGATAATAGTTTGTATTTTCATCAAAGATGAATCATGCTGCTTTACTTGAGATCTTTGAACCTCCTGAAATCATATGCAGAACTGTATTTATCAGTGCACAGGGTCAGGAAGACAGAGCAGGTTTTGGAGAACTTGTTGGGTTTTAGGTACAGTTATTTAATTTAGACTTAGAACTGTAGGCTTAGTTCTAAGAAGAGGCTACTATTTGGAATTCATCTCCATAAAGATAAAAGCTAAACGCCAGGCGCGGTGGCTCACACCTGTAATCCTAGTACTTTGGGAGGCTGAGGTGGGTGGATCACGAGGTCAGGAGATCGAGACCATCCTGGCCAACATGGTGAAACTCCCTCTCTACTAAAAATACAAACCTGGGTGTGGTGGTGCGTGCCTGTAGTCCCAGCTACTTGGGAGGCTAAGGCAGGAGAATCGCTCGAACCTGGGAGGCAGAGGTTGCAGTGAGCCGAGATCATGCCACTGCACTCTAGCCTGGGTGACAGAGCGAGACTCCACCTCAAAAACATAAAAAGATAAACGCTAAAGCTTTGGTGTGGGTTAGACTGCCATGGGACAAGTATATAGAGAGAACTAAGGTCAGAACTTGGAGATGTGCTGCATTTCCGGTAGAAGGCGAACAGAGGCCACAGAAGGATCCAGAGAAGGAGCATTTAGTGGAGGTAAGGAAAGAATCAGTAGAATGTAGTATCACCAAAGTCAAACACAAGTGAGTCAGATGCTGCACAGTCAAAGAGACCAGAGAGGAAGCCGCTGGGTTTTGCAACAGGTATCTACCAATCATCCTCCAGATGGCCAGTTTCTGTAGATACAGAAGATCACAAGGAGTAAGTGATTGATGAGGAAAGGCAGGCAAGGAAGACAATGGTGAAGATAAAGAACGTCAGATAGCAGCTCAAGAGTATAACATTAAGAAAAGTCATTCTGTTGCTGTCCTGTTTTTGGAATGGGAGGAACTGGACCATGATTAAAGATTATGGGAAAGAACTCGATTGAACTGGAGAAAGAAGGAGTCGAAGCTGAAGGGTTATCTTTAAAGATGAGGTTGGATATTTCTTCCTTTGGGACTAGAGGGAAGCAGAAGCTGGGTGAGTCTTCAGAAGACTGTTGAGGAGGCTGATTGGTAGATGGTCTGCGATTTTCCTTAGGAAAAAAAGAGCAAGATGAATACATTCTAGAGATCTGCTGTATAACATAGGGCTATAATGAACAACACTATATTGTATGCTTAAAATTTGTGAAGAGGGTAGACCTCATATTAGATGTTCTTACCACAGTAAAAAGAAGAAGAAGAAAGTAAGAGTTGAAGTTGAAGTGCTATGTGGGGGCTCAGGGCAGAGGTAGAGACTTGAGAGAAATTTTAAAATTTAAAGTTAATAAAAAATTTAATTAAAACTAAAATTTAGAATTTGAATTTTTAGAGCTAGATGATGACAATAGTTAACATCTGTTACATGCTCATGATATGTTGGGTAATATGCTAAGGACTTCACATGCATTATTTCCTTTAGTACAAACTATTACCCTATGATGGTGGTTACTGTTATTATTCCCATTTTGAAGATAAGGAAACAAGCAGGGGAAGGTGGTGTACCATACTCAAGGTCAGACATCATCTTACTAGAGCTGGGATTAGGATCCAGGCAGCAGCAGGCTGACTCCAAAACTTACAGTCTTAATCATTTCGATATAAGCACAATAAATTTAAAGGCAATTTAGAAAGTTATAAGAAAATCAAAATACATCACTGTAAAAATGATGGTTTTGTTCCCTTTCTATATCTCCATGAATTTTTTGCTCATTTTTCAGATTGAGGTGGGTATGGGGAGGAGTATGGAAATGTAAGAAATAACCACAATTATATCCAGTAACTTCAGGATCTCCATCCCTTTATGCTGTGCCTTGAGGACAGGTGTCAGCAAATTTTTAGATGTGATGACCAAAGTGTATTGATACATTCCTGCTTGGGGTACTGGAGGGACAGTTGAAGTTACCACCTGTAAGTCTCATGTATAGACCAAGTCACTGAATGCTGCTAAGTGGAGAAACTGAATCCATTAGTAGATGTGCTTTTAGAGACACATGGAGAACATGGATATATTATACAAATAAGAGCAAGAGATGGTCAGGAGGAGAGAGGGGGGAAATGAAGATGATTTCATGGCAGGGCAGGCTTTGAGAAAGAACCAATAACTCAAGAGTAATCATATAGTAAGTCATTATCAGCTGGATCAGAGAATGTTAAAGCTGGAAGAAGCCTAGTAATTGCTTAAATCCATTTAGTCCTTTTTGGAGTCACTTATCCTTTTAAAAATCAGAAGCTATGGACTCAACTACAATCCCTCACACACAGACACACATTTTGCATATTATTTCCGGGAATTCTAGCATCCTCAGAAGATTAATCATGGGTCTTGACCAAGGAGTTCAAGTTAGGAATGCTGATCTAATTTAAGGCTCTCAGTTTAAAGATAAGGAAACAATATTATTACAAGTTAAAACTTGAGTAGTAAATAGCTGCTAGCAAAAAGACATCATCTTACTAGAGCTGAGATTACAATCCAGACAGTAGCAGGCTGACTCCAAAACCCATAGTCTTAATCCCTTTGCTAAAATAATGGTTTTGTTTGAAAAGACAAAGGCAAGAGAAAAGACAAAAGCAAATATCTCTTAAAGTATTTCTGCTTCCTCCAGTATTTTTCTTTGATGTGAGTTTTTTACTCATTTAGTTGGTAAAATGAGTTAATTGTGCCTCAGCCTCCTGAATAGCTGGGATTACAGGCACCCGCCACCATGCCCAGCTAATTTTTGTATTTTTAGTGGAGGTGGAGTTTCACCATGTTGGCCAGGCTGGTCTCAAACTTCTGACCTCAGGTGATCCACCTGCCTCATCCTCCCAAAGTGCTGGGATTACAGGCATGAGCCGCCTTGCCCGGCCTCTTTGATGATTTTTACATAGAATTAATGTTTTTTCATGCTACAGGTAAGTTCACTTCTTCTTTCTTCTGTTAATGAGCTCCAAATTAGCTTCACCAGGCTACTGATAGGCTGCTTGTTTATAAATCACATACCTTTTGGAGAGTTGCACACTCCCCTCCAAAACTTTCTTACCTCCTAAAATGATTTCTAAAGGTGACTTATCACCTCTCTTCTTCAAAACAGAGACCAGATGACTGAAGAGTCCAAAGTGGAAGCAGAATTGCATGCTGAACGCATAGAAGCCCTAAGAAAGCAGTTTCAAACTGAGAGAGAAACTGCAAAGAAAGTGGCACAACGGGAAGTGGCTGAGGTATAGAGTCATGAGGAAAGTTTCTCTCTTGGTGAATGCCTCTTAGGAGAAAAAGCAGCTCTGAGATTTCAGAGAATGGCTGCAGTTGGCCTTTGACTCCTCTCGTCCCCCTTTGATCAGCAGGCCAGATGTAATTAAGACCTCTCTGTAAAGCAGCACACAAGAAAAAAGTTTCTGACATAATTCTCTGCCTAGCAAAGGTGTGCCTTGGTGGGAGATTTTCCATCAGAGAGTGATAAGCGAGAGGGATAGAGGAATAAGGAGACTGCCATGTGATAGACAGAAGAGAAATCATCTGTCTCCTCAGTTCACTTAACTGGCATCTATTCTGCATCTACCATGTCCTGAGAGACACAGAGAAAACAGTAGAAGATATGGTCCATGGCCTAGTGTGTGCCAAATGACCCTTGTTTGGGATCTCCACTCTGGACATGAGACAAATAGGGAAAACATCAGAGAACTTTCTTGGGTAGCAGAGGCTGTGTACAATTTTGAAGGAATTCAAAGTAAGAGAAAGTTTATTTTAGGCCATTTGGTTGATAGAAGAAGGGAAGCTTAATGAGAGTACAGGATTGAGACTAGCAGAGATGGCAGGACTGGACACCTTACAAAACTGGCCAAGCTTACAAAAATGAACAGGACATGCAAGCAGATGAAAAGTAGCCTCTGTTAATTAGAGCAGAGACTTTGAGAAATGTTAGAGAAAGAGTGTTAGCTTAAATGGGACCACCTGATGGATGGCCTTAGTTATAGAAATGTCGGATGTGAACTCAGGTAGAAATGGAGCACTATGGGTTTCTGAGCAGGGGGTGGTATGATAGAAGCATAAGTTTAGGAAGGTTAATGTAACAACAGAGGACAGTAGAGGATAATGAAGAGAAACTGGAGGCATGGAGACTCAAGAAAACTATAACAGTTAATTTGAGTATTAGATGATTAGGGCCAAGCAAAGTAGTTCAGTTGAAAATAGAAAACAATTAAGTCAGAAAGCCCATTTTAATAGAAAAATCATCAAACAGTCCGGGCAAGGCGGCTCATGCCTATAATCCCAGCACTTTGGGAGGCTGAGGCAGGTGGATCACCTGAGGTCAGAAGTTTGAGACCAGCCTGGCTAACATGGTGAAACTCCATCTCTGCTAAAAATACAAAAATTAGCTGGGATTTTTTGCCTGTAATCCCAGCTATTCAGGAGGCTGAGGCACAAAAATCGCTTGAACCTGGGAGGTGGAGGTTACAGTGAGCCTAGATGGCACCACTGCACTCCAGCCTGGGTGACAGAGGGAGACTCCGTCTCCAAAAAAAAAAAAAAAAAAAGAAAAAAATTATCAAACAGACATTAAATGTTGTATCCTGGAGAGGGAGGGATTAAAATAATTCCGTGGTTGGCATGGCTGGTCTATGTTTTACCAAATTTGTTACATTTAGTAGTTGCAATTGACAGACGATTCACAAAATCAAACTCAATGGTTTATAAAACAATTTTGTAAATTGCGAAGCACTATATAAATACAAATGTTTTAAAAAGCAAATTCTTTTTATAGAAGAATTAGGGAACATAAAGGTGTGCTAAATGTAGAAATGTACCTTTAGTCAGAGATCATTGTTAAGAATACTTACAGCCAGGTTCAGTGGCTCACGCCTGTAATCCCAGCACTTTGGGAGGCCGAGGTGGGGGGATCACGAGGTCAGGAGATTGAGACCATCCTGGCTAACACAGTGAAACCCCATCTCTACTAAAAATACAAAAAAATTAGCTGGGCGTGGTGGTGGCGCCTGTAGTCCCAGCTACTGGGGAGGCTGAGGCAGGAGAATGGCGTGAACCTGGGAGGCGGAGCTTGCAGTGAGCCGATAATCGTGCCACTGCACTCCAGCCTGGACTACAGAGCGCAACTCCGTCTCAAAAAAAAAAAAAAAAGAATACTTACAAAATGAAATCCTTTGAAGAAGGATCAGTGACAGTGAGGGAGTGACAGCAGTGAGGAGTTGGCAGCAGCAATGGGCTCACAGAGCACTGCCTGAGTCCCAGCTCTGCCTCTTATTAGCTACGTGTTAATTTACTGTGTAAGTAAGTGACTTAATTTCTGAGTTTCAGTTTCCTCAGTCATGAAATGGAAACGATCACAACTATTTTTCAAGTTTATCTTGAGAATTAAATTGGAAAGCATTTTTAAAGTAATTATCACAGTACCTGAACGTAATAATCACTACAAAGTAAATGATAGTTGTTAGTGCTTATCCAGTTTTAGAAAGGCTGTGATTGAGGTAACTGGAATATCTAACAGGAAGTTAGTTGGGCAGTAATAAAAGACTGTAGTGTAAAGTTAGGATCTAAAAGAAGGAACTAGTATAGAAAGAAAAGATACAGATATCCTTGACTTCACTCTTTGCTGTGTTAAATGCTACCAGACATAGAGAATACCACCTTCCTGTCTTCTCCCTTCTCAACTGCCTCCTCTTCCTAAAGTTTTCGAGTGGCAATAGTTTAAGGGCATATTAGAAGGATGGGAACTCTGTAAAATTATTTAAGTAACTACTATGCAGTTTTTTTCATGAGATAAGTTTATTAAAATCCTTGAGAACAAAAAGCAAAATTATAAAAATATATGCCATGACAGTCAATAACTTGCCAGATATTTATATAAACTGCCATGTAATTCATTTTCATTTCTTCAGAAATGAGGTTGCAAGTGACAGAGAAGAGCTTATAGCATGATAATCACAGAGTAATTATTGTGTGTGCCAAACTCTACTTCTTTCTCTATATGATCTTACTTAATTTAATTTGTTATTTGTATTCTATGAAGTAGGGTATACACACACTGTTCAGATGATGAACCTGAGGCTTAAGGTAGTTATTTGCCCCAGATCACTCAACTAGTAAGTGCTGAAGGTGATATTTGGACAGAAGCCTGACTCCAAAACCATGCTCTTAAAATGCAAATGATGAATATACATTTACATTCTTTATTCCAAGAAAGAGTTTGTTCTTCAGTGATAAAAATTATGAAAACCACTTGGTCTGTTGCTCCATAAATCTGCTTAATCAGACATTATTATTGCCTTACTAACTCTCCTTTTTAAAAGAAAATCCAAAGATAACAAAATATAAGGACAAAACTACATAAGCTTCTCTTGATGGAAAGTAAAAATGTTTCCATTTTTTCCCTTGTGTTTTAAGCTGAAGAAAGCCCTTGATGAAGCTAACTTCAGATCAGTGGAAGTGTCCCGGACCAACCGAGAGCTGCGACAGAAACTTGCAGAGCTAGAAAAAATACTAGAAAGTAACAAGGAGAAAATAAAGAATCAAAAGACCCAAATTAAGCTCCACTTGTCAGCTAAGGCGAATAATGCTCAGAATATAGAAAGGATGAAGGTTGTATGAGAAACCTCTTCTCACTTCCTGGATACCCTATGAGGATGTAGGCAGTCAGTGGTGTCTGGGGAAGACAGGTTTTAGAACCCTACCAGCCCCACGTATTCTCTGGGAATTATAGCCAGTTGCCTTTGGGGAGACTTTTTCAGTGGAGACGCTGCTGTGTAAATGTTTGATTTCTCCTTTGCTGCCAGTGTCACATTCTGGTTCCCCATCTGTCCCTTCCGTGTTGATTGTACTGGACTTTGCTCTTTCGGGATCAGTGGGCCAGATGGGAAAGAAAGCTTAGCAGGAACTGGTAACTTTGGGTCTCATATTGGAATCTTTCTGTCATAGGCAAAAAGAGCAAGCCAGTTTTTCCACTGATCATCATTTTATGTTATTTTCCATTTACTTTTAGCAAATAGAAAAAGAATTGAAGCAAATGGAGCTAATTAAGGATCAATATCAGAAAAAAAACTATGAACAGGTAGATAGATGATTTCCATACACTCTGTGTTTACCTTTCATGCAAAATCTCAAACTTGGAGGGGATTCACCAAATGTCTCCGTCTTTGTATCCTTCCAGTCTTTGAGTATCCAGAGATTTGTGTGTGAAGTGACTAACCTGCAGAAAGAGATGCAGATGTTGGCCAAGAGCCAATATGATGCCTCAGTGCGGAATAAACAGCAAGAGCTGTGCCTAGAAGCAGAGCGGAAAATAAGGCAGAAGCTAGAGAATCGGTGCCAGGTAAAAGGTTTCCTAAGATTCATCTTAAAGATGGTCAGCAAATGACATGTGCCAAAACCCAGCAGTATTGCACCTAGACTTTCTAGAGTCTACAGAAGACAACACATATTTACAAATTGTTTATATTAGCTAAGTCCTTAAATAATAGTATCTAGGAAGAAGACTGTAGTTCTGTAGTTTGAATATGGCAAATGTTCTCCATTTTCAGTTTAATAAACGTAACGTCAAATTTTGAAGAACATCTAGGGCTTACATATGCAAAGTATCAGTTACTAAGTAAGACTTCTGAACTGAATTCCATAGCCTTTCAGGAACTTTATACACCTCATTTCTTCTCCTAGCACAGATACACCTGTTGCTGTTACAGGACTCTTAGGTATTCCTAAATGAATAAAAAGCATAACGTCATATCACTGAAAAGGGACTTCAAGAGATCACTGAGCTCTTGTCTTTCAATAGGGTTGGTCATGAGAAGTATCTCTCCAGTTCTGAAAAGAGATATTAATCACTTTCCTCAACAGAATCCATAAATAAAAAATCAAAATGTGTAATCATATCCACATATGTAGATATGGAGACTATAGGTTAAACTGAAAATAGCAGTTTTTATCTTATATGTCGGTAGCACCTGAAGTTAGAAGGCACTCCATCCTATAACAGTGAAGCATTTGGTTCCTTATGGTATGTTGGAAGTTTATAAAAATCTTTGTGTCACATTTTCAGGAATTGGAAGAAACTATCAGACACCTGAAGAAATGTAAAGAGGCAACAGAGAATAAGCTGAAAGAAGCCAGTGTGGAATCAGAACAGGTGAGCCAGACCCATGGATGTAAAGACTTAGACGTTTCCTTCAACACAACAACCCTGAAGCAACCCAAGTCAATGTGAAATCCTTCATTAACAGAGTTGTCAGGAATGCAACAGGGAAAAACCAGTAACTTCCTAAGTGTAGTCTCTATTGTAAAGAAGTGATTTTTAGATTGAGTCTATGTCCTGATGATAGATGAGAGATAACACAATGCTAAAATATTAAACCTGAAGTCCAAATCTCCCTACTAAATACGAGGAAAAACCAGCATATGTGTGGATTTTAGTGCATTATTATTTGACATGACCCTACTGAAAGTGGATGCTCTTTGTTCAATCAATCAATAACTAAAAAAGTAAAGTAGACCCTATTTAACTAATTTGTGAATTTGCCTTTTCTATTCTAAACTTAAATTAGCCTATTGGGGGATATTTCAAATCATACTTTTTTTTTTTTTTCTTTGAAACAAGATCTCACTCTGTCACCAGACTGGAGTACATGGCATAAGCTTGGCTCACTGCAACCTCCACCTCCTAGGCTCAAATGATCCTCCCACTTGAGCCTCCCAAGTAGCCAAGTAGCTGGGCATGGTGGTGTACCATGCACAGCTAATTTTTGGTGGAGATGAGGTTCCACTATGTTGCCAGGCTGGTCTTGAACTCCTGCACTCAGGTGATCCACCAGCCTTGGCCTCCCAAAGTGCTGTGATTCCAGATGTGAACCACTACACCTGGCCCATGAACTAACTACATTCTTAAGAGTTCATATATTTTTTCATTTTCAAAGCCATCTTGTACCTTCATTCTTAATTTTCTCCTGGGTCCTCTCTTACATTACTTCACATCCAGGAAACATTAACAAATGCATGGAAAGCAGCAAGTCTGCATGCATTGTTTAACCCCTCACTCAGAAATTACTCTCATATATAGGTTGTTAAGTATATTGTGCAAATAGGTTGCAAAGAACATGCAGTCAGAATTTGGGTCTTTTAATTTCTAAGTAAAAAATCTCTGCAACTAATACACAAAAAACTTGTAACTCTTTCTTTGTGTCTTTTAATGGTGATATTTATATGTTCAGATAACAGCTAACCTAGAAGAAGCCCATCGCTGGTTTAAACACAGGTTTGATGGTCTACAACTTGAGCTGACAAAAAACCGGTTGCAGAGGCCTTCTGGGGAAGACAGGTGGCAGGAAAAGGTAAGATTAAGACATAGATGTCTTAAGCAATTTTCTACTTGTTGCTTCTCAGATTTCTAATTACTAAAGTTCTCTCATCATCTTGATACTATCTCTGTTAATCTTTAGTTTCTTTACACTAATGCTAGCAAACCAGTTAATTTCTTTTTCTTACAAAGTTCCACCTGTCACAAACTTTTTAGATTAGAATCACCTGTCTTCATGAATACATGACATGTGTAGAGGCAAAACAGGTGCAGATTGTTGCAGTTAGCTTTGAACAGTCAGTGTTAGGTGTGTTTTCTTTCCAACAGGACCAAGATGTAAAACATGATGTCATGTCCAACCAATCTGTTCTGCATCGATGGGAGAAAAAACAGAATCTTAGGCCTATGCCCAAGAAGTATCATTCTGAGGTACAGAGGAAGTGATGTCCTTGACAAGGGAGCTTCTTTATGTGTAGCTACACTCCATGATTCCACGAGCCCAGCAGCCAGGGCTGGCCTGTTTCTAGAGTCATAAGAACATGAAGTCTTTGATGTGGGCTGAAGATTTTGGACCTGAGTTTATCATTTTATGAACTATTATATCAGTACAAAGCTACCCCGTTGTTTTGTCCCTTTTTGCATTTTCCACCCAATAAATTTATGTTAATTTGTTTTCTGATAGGAGATGGTGTTCCATGATTCTTGTCTGTTTTTCTAATAAGTATAAGAAAAAGCTTTTAGCAAGGTTCTAAATGATATTGCCACTAAACGATATGATATTTTGCTTCAATGAAACGTCCTCCTCTAACATGCAGTAGATAATCCCTGAAAATAGAATTGTGTGAAAAATGGTAAAGACTCCTCTACTGTCTTGCAGACTGACACACTTCTGTGTTGGGTAATTACCAGCATATCTTTTAAATGACTAATATCTCTATTCTCAAATAAGGCATTTCAGATATTATATTTACAGCTTCCTTGGTCGTTAAAAAAGTTACAGAATGCAGCAGTCTGTTCTTCTCAGGGAGACTATGCCTGACCAACATAGCTCTTCCTTACTATAGTTAAGGAATAAGCTCATCTTTATCTTTTTATTTCAGATGTTGAGTGGTGGATTAGGTAATCCAGATTTAGCATATGTAAATGGATGGCATAATACCTGACTTAATTAATATTCAAGTAATCATAGCTGCTGCTGACATTATCAGGACCTAAATCAAGTAAGCAATCAGGAAATTGAAAATAATATCAAATATAAGACTGTCAAAGGTTGATGAGCCTACTACTCAATATCTGATAGAAAAAAACAAAGCTACATTTATCACTTACTATATAGTAAGGAATAATTGTTGTTCAGGCGTAGTCTTCCTTGAGCAGAGCAGACTGTTAATCTCATGTAGGTTCTTTGGGAATATGGAATTCATATTGACATCTGTAGAAGTGTAGTTACTGAAGTGAGACTATTGTTTATTGATTCACATTCAGAAGCATGTTAATTGGAGTGGGTCCATTTCTGTTTGTTTGACTTAAGGAATAAAGGAGTCTTGCTGGTTTTCAGGCTTGGAAAAGCATGTACAAAAAGGCAAGTTGACCAGGTCCAGTGGCTCATGCCTGTAATCCCAACACTTCGGGTGGCCAAGGCAGGCAGATCACTTGAGGCCAGGAGTTTGAGACCAGCCTGGCCAACATGGTGAAACCCTGTCTCTATCAAAAATACAAAAATTAGCCAGGTGTGGTGGTGCAAACCTGTAGTCCCAGCTGTTTGGGTGGCTGAAGCACAAGAATCGCTTGAACCCAGGAGGTGGAGATTGTAGTGAGCCAAGATCACACCACTGTACTCCAGCCTGGGCAACAGAGTGAAACTCTGTCTCAAAAAAAAAAAAAAAAAAAAAAAAAAAAAGAATGAAAGAAAAATGTTGTCATTTATCTAATGGACAAGTTAAAAACTGGTAAAAACTGGTAGTTAAAAACTAGCTGCTTGTTCTCATGGCTTCCAAACGATCAATCTTAATCTGTTTTTGGGAGGATGTAAACATTTTATTATTTGTGCCCCCTTTTGGTCCTGTATCATATGTTAGGACAGTGGCTCTGTAGAAGCGTTTGAGACTGAACAACAGACATCAAACAACTATTTTGTTAACCCAGGTACAATATGAAGTGTTAGCACTGGTGCATACACCTCTCTGGTTGGAAAAAGAAAATAATTCATGACTATTTTATTACCTATAACTACTTTGGTTCTATGGTTTGAATGTGTCCCCTCCAAAATTCATGTTGAAACTTAATTCTTACTCTGGTGGTATTAAGTGGGGGGCCTTTAGGGCCTCTGGGGAAGTGGTATTAAGTGGGGGGCCTTTGGGGCTCTGCCCTCATGAATGGAGTAGTGCCTCATTAAAGGGCTGGAGGGAACTAACTTGGGCCATTTTGCCTTTCTGCCTTCCACCATGTGAGGACACAGCATTCAGCTCCTCTGGAGGAAACAAAGGTGCCATCTTAGAAACAGGGAACAGGGTCCTCACTTGACATCAAATCTGCAAGCACTTTGATCTTGGACTTCCCAGCCTCCCAAACTGTAAGAAATAAATGTCTGTTCTTTATAAATTACTCAGTCTCAATTGTTTTGTTACAGCAGCAGAAACAGACTAAGATGACGCTTGGTTATGAAAAATTTAAGTTGTTTGCTGTGTCTCCAAGGGTTGGACTGTGTTATTTACTGGGTCAGCTAAAGTGAGAGAACACATTTTTGTGGTCTCCTCAAGTTGTCAAACTCCTATGGGATAGGTCACTATCCATAGGAGTTGATGTGGTTTGGCTCTGTGTCCCCACCCAAATCTCATGTTGAATTGTAATTCCCTGTGTTGGAGGAGGAGGGACCTGGTGGAAGGTGATTGGATTATGGGGGCAGTTTTCCCCCTTGCTGTTCTTGTCATAGTGAGTGACTTCTCACAAGATCTGGTTGTTTAAAAGTGTGTATTACCTCTTTGTTCACTTGCTCTCTCCTGCTGCCACGTGAAGATGTGCTTGCTTCCCCTTTGCCCTTCCACCATGATTATAAGTTGCCTGAGGCCTCCCCAGCCATGCCTACTGTACATCCTGTGGAACTGTGAGTCAATTAAGCCTCATTATAAATTACCCTGTCTCAGGTCTGTATAGCAGTGTGAGAATGGACTAATACAGGAGTCTCTCCAAAAAGGGATTTATCCCTTTGGACTCTTTAAGATATATAGTCAGTTGAGGGTATTGGGGAATTATAACTTTAAAACAGCCTAACCAGGAGCCCCCCAGAATAATGAACCTTGGTCCAGGGTTGGCACTGAAAACCTTGGTGGTGAATTCCACAAAGGAAAAAGATCCCAGTTACTAGACAAGGGGGATGATCAACCTTAATGGATTGTAAATGTATTACCACTTATGTTGTCATGACAGTCACAGTTATATGCCAAGAATATTTATATCCTCCTTTTCCAGAACAAGGACATTTTTCTTCACTTATGTATTGTTCTCAAAGGGTGCCATTATTGATAAAGTTAATGTAACATACCTTTATGTTATTTTTTAGATTGGCTATACTAGATTGGGAGAAAGACATAGTTAGATTGATGATCATTTCTAGTAAAGCTTATATTTATTATAAGAGGTATATGATAGCTAAATCACAACTACATATAAGCTTAAACTAGTAAAGAGAGGAATATGATCAACAGAATAACAGACAAAGGTATGTTAAAGAGAATGTGACAGAAGAATCTTGTTCAAATGGTCTTAGGCAGAAGCCGCCTATTTTGTGTGGTTATCTGCTTGTTCTGAGTCTTTTGGGTTAGCAGTCAATTTCTGCAGATCATCCGCTTCTGAAAGCCCTTCAGAGAACTTTGGGATCTCTAATGGGTATAACTTTCTGATTCTATTAAGACCTTTTCTATTTTTCCAGAGGATTGAAGTGATATGAGCAACAAGGATTCATTTAAAAAGCAAAGCTTATATAATTCAAATCATGAAAAACCATTCCAGCTTAATGTGTCCCTGTATTATTAGATAGATGTAATGTCCTTGGTGGGAAACACAAACTCAAATCCTTTTTTAGCCATTTTAAGTGCTAGCTTTTTGACAAGGGAGTGCTTCCACTTATCCAGAAGATAAATATACCATTATTACTATATATAACACACATAGAATGAAGTAGTTATATAAAATCCATTTGGATGTACTCAAAGAGTCTTTTAGGATATGGTTCTAGTTCATACCCACCTTTATAACTTTTCCAAATTAATTTCATTACAGATGAGACATTATCTGGCCACATCCTTTGCCATGCTAAAAAAGTTTCTATCAGCGATGAATATTTTGGCAAACTTTTTCATACTGTGATAGGTTGTTTTATAGAGGATTTTAGCAAGTGTCTATTTGAAGGTTTTTTTTTCCCTCTCTTCAACTTATTTTAAGTTCAGGGGTACCTGTGCAGGGGTGTGCAGGTTTGTTACATAGGTAAACATGTGCCATGGTGGTTTGCTGCACAGATCATCCCATCACCTAGGTATTAAGCCCAGCATCCATTAGCTATTCTTCCTAATGCTCTTTCTTCCCCCACTCTGCCCCCTACAAGTTCCAGTGTGTGTTGTTGCCACTCATGTGTCTATGTGTTCTTATCATTCAGCTCCCACTTATAAGTGAGAACACATGATGTTTGGTTTTCTGTTTCTGTGTTAGTTTGCTGAGGATAATGGCTTCCAACTTCATCCATGTCCCTGCAAAGGACATGATCTTATTCCTTTTCACAGCTGCATAGTATTCCACGGTGTATTTGTACCACAGTTTCTTTATTGAGTCTGCTATTGATGGGCATTTAGGGTTAATTTCACGTATTTGCTATTGTGAATAGTCTTTCAGTGAACATACACGTGCATGAATCTTGATAATAGAATGATTTATATTCCTTTAGGTATATTTCCAGTAATGGGATTGCTGGGTCAAATGGTTTTTCTGCCTCTAGGTCTTTAAGGAATTGCCATCCACTCTTCCATAGTGGTTGAACTATTTACATTCCCACCAACAGTGTAAATGCTTTCCTTTTTCTCCACCACCTTGCCAGCATCTGCTGTTTTTTTGACTTTTTCATAATAGTCATTCTGACTGGCATGAGATGGTATGTCATTGTGGTTTGGATTTTCATTTCTTTAATGATCAGTGATGTTGAGCTATTTTTTCATATATTTGTTGGCCACATGTATGTCTTCTTTTGCGAAGTGGCTGTTCATGTCCTTTGCCCACTTTTTAATGGGGTTGTTTTTTTCTTGTAAATTTAAGTTCCTTGTAGACTCTGGATATTAGACCTTTATTAGAAGGATTAGACAGCAAAAATTTTCTCCCATTCTGTAGGTTGTGTGTTCACTCTGATGATAGTTTCTTTTGCTCTGCAGAAGCTGTTTAGTTTAATTAGATCCCATTTGATAATTTTTGCTTTTGTTGCAATTGCTTTTGGTGTTTTTGTCATGAAATCTTTGCCTGTGCCTATGTCCTAAATGATATTGCCCAGATTTTCTGTTAGCATTTTTATAGTTTTGGGCTTTACATTTAAGTCTTTAATCCATTATGAGTTAATTTTTGTATATGGTTTAAGGAAGGGGTCCAGTTTCCATTTTTTACATATGGCTAGCCAGTTATCCCAGCACCATTTATTGAATAGGGAATCCTTTCTCTATTGCTTATTTTTGTCAGGTTTGTCGAAGATCAAATGGTTATAGGTGTGCTGTCTTATTTCTGAGTTCTCTATTCTGTTCTATTGGTCTATGTGTCTGTTCTAGTACCAGTACCATGCTGTTTTGGTTACTGCAACCTTGTAGTAGAGTTGGAAGTTAGGTAGGGTGATGATTCAGCATTGTTCTTGTTGCTTAGGATTGTCTTGGCTATTCAGGCTCTTTTTGGTCCCATATGAATTTTAAAATAGTTTTTTCTAATTCTTTGAAGACCATCAATGGTAGTTTAATGGGCATAGCATTGAATCTATAAATTACTTTGGGCAGTATGGCCATTTTCATGATATTGATTCTTCCTATCCATGAGCATGGAATGTTTTTCCGTTAGTGTCTTCTCTGATTTCTTTGAGCAGTGGTTTGTAGTTCTCCTTGAAGAGGTCCTTCACTTCCCTTGTCAGTGGTATTCCTAGGTATTTTATTCTTTTTATAGCAATTGTGAATGGGAGTTTGTGTTTTGGCTCTCTGCCTGCCTGTTGGTGGGGTATAGGAATGCTAGTGATTTTTGCACATTAATTTTGTATCCTGAGACTGCTGATGTTGCTTATCAGCTTAAGAAGCTTTTGGCCTGAGACAATGGGGTTTTCTAGATATAGAATCATGTCATCTTCAAACAAAGATAATTTGACTTCCTCTGTTCATATTTCTTTCTCTTGCCTGATTGCCCTGGCCACAACTTCCAATGTTATGTGGAATAGAGGTGGTGAGAGAGGGCATTCCTGTCTTTTGGCAGTTTTCAAGGGGAATGCTTCCAGCTTCTGCCCATTCAGTATGATGTTGACTGTGAGTTTGTCATAGATTGCTCT